ACCTACAATGTCATTGTTAGATGAAAGATCACTGATAAATGTTTTAATTAATCATAGTACTAAATCTATTATGAGCCACATCCAAATTTTAAAAAATGCTAAAAACAGAAAGCTAGGAGCCTTATAATTAATGAAACAAAGTATTTTAAAACCACTGTTCTTTTGCTACTTGGCTCCAATTGTTATACCACTAACTTCCACTAGATGCCGCTGTGATCTGCTCCTTCAGGCTCTGAAAGGCAGTCTGAAAACCACTTTTACGCAAGTATTTAAAGTTGAAATAATCTACCCCTTAAGACAAAAGACTTAAAATTTTCATAATTCGAGGAGCTGTATTCCAGTATTTCTCTTTGTTAAGATTTATCTGACGTATTTCATGAAGTGTAAAATTATTTGAAAATAAATTGAAACATCTTGTCTCCTTGAGGACAAGTTGTTGCCTCCCTTCTATCCACATCCCCAGATGTCACATTTCACTTGTGTCAATCTCATGACTAGCCTACAGTGGGTTTTAGAGGACAGATAGCAATATTGATAGGAGGGCTAGTGTTGGACTTAAATAAAATAAAAAGTTTTATTTAAAGGAAAAAAATATGATGTCTTCTAATCTGAAGATAGCAGATTCACTGCTTGTCCTGACAGGAAAAGTTGGGTGGAAAAGGGCCCTGAGTTAAATCCCAGTCCAATGTTGGTGCTGGTTATTGACCTAGGACCTCCCTGGCTAAAACCCTAAATTCTCCCTGTTGGGTGAGAATTACTCTCCCAGAAAAATGATAAAAGCTACAGGGCCAAACGGAAGCTCACAAAACTTCCAGAGATGTGCTCAGAGTAGAGCAACTTGGCTCTAGCAATCTCCAGTAAGATGAGAACAGACACTGGGAGTAAGTACTTCAAAGCTTTTACTGTAAATCTGTAATGTTATGTCTGTTAAGTCTAATAAAAAGAAATTGGGAGGCTGGGAATGTCATTTAGTGGTAGAGCACCTGCTTAGCATGTGCAAGGCACTGAATTCCAAAAGTTCCAGTATTTTACAAAAATATCAACCCATAAGAGATTAGGGTTTTTGTTTTCTTATTTTTTGTTGTTTCTTATTTTTTTGCTGGGGGAGGGAACTTCAGAATCAAGGTCAAAAGAAATCCTAAGAATGGCAAACTTATGGGAGCCCCAGCCTCTGAGCCTGCCGTTAGCAGCTCACCAAGAGTTCACCAGCCCTAAAGTCTCAGGGACTCTTCAGGGACTCTGAACCATCACCCTTCACAGAGGCTTCCCCTTGCTCAGCGCACATATAAAAGAGCGAGCTAAATTGGCCCTGGGGCAAGAGGAACTCAGGTGTTCAAAGTGAAAAGAAAATGCAAAATCACTCTGAATTGCCAACTCTCATATATATAGGTTCAGAATCCAGGCACAGTGAGAGTTCCATAGTAGACTTCTTTTTGGTTTGATCCAGCAAAATCATCTGGCTTTGATGGAAGGGAAGTCTAAGGTGCCATAGCTTTCCATTTATGAGTAAATGTGAGTTGGTCACTTTGTTGCTCTTAAGAATGGCCATGGGTATGCTGTCATACTGTCAATGCTTTTTTCGGAAAAGCCATCTGGTGATATCTATCAAAATGTAAACTGTAAATACTCTTTAACTCAGCAGTTTTAAATGTATCATTAAAAGATTAGATACTGGGCTGGGATTTTGGGTCAGTAGTAGAGTGCTCGCCTAGCAGATGCAAGGCCCTGGGTTCGATCCTCAGCACCACGTAAAAAATAAATAAATGAAGGTATTGTGTCCAACTACAACTAAACAATAAATGTTAAAAAAAAAAAAGGTTAAGGGCTGGGGTTGTGGCTCAGTGGTATAGCACTTGCTTAGCATGTGTGAGGCACTGGGTTCAATCCCCAGAACCATGTAAAAATAAAAAATAAAGGTATTATGCCCATATATTTTTTTAAAGTCATGTTTAAAAAAAAGATTAGATACTGCCATGTATGGGAGCACATGCCTCTACTCCCAGCAACTTGGGAGGCAGAAGCAAGGAGATCAAGAGTTCTAGGTCAGCCTGAGCAACTTAGCAAGACCCCATTAAAAAAAATTAGATACTTCTTTAGAGGCACGATGTGAAGTAAAGGAAGGAAGTTGAAGTATGATAGGCACAGCATGATCTTATTTGTGTGAAAAAGAAGCACATGCATTTTGAGGGTGCTGAGAATCATGAAAACTTTATAAAAAAACTGTTCACAATGGTCCCCTCTGGGAAGTAGAGTCAAGTAACAAAGTTGGAGAGAAGGACTTTCACTTTTATCCTCATACCCTTCTGTATGGTTTCATTATTTCAAAAGTAAAACATGCAATGATTTCATATAGAACAAGGTCCTCTCTGCGAGCATTAAGAGCAAGAAGAAATGGCAAAAAATATCAGTCAGACATAACCTGAAACAAGGGGTTTCATAAAATAGCAGTTCCTAAAGCTCAAGAGATATGGGCAACAACAACAATGAAAAACAACTTCTAGTTTGCTCTCACCTATGGCCAGTGAATATTTTTAGAAAAAAGCAATAACTGCCTCAGGGGACCCCACAAAACCCAGTACAGCAGGGGCCCATGGCTTCCAGGGATTGTGGCCATCACCATGTGAAAAAATTCAGAGAGAACTGCCCAAGTGTTTAATTACTGTGTGGAAATGGAACCAAAAGAAAGGAGTTTAGGGTTGGTTATGTAAATATAAAATGGTTGTCTGGCCCTGCTTCATAAACAGAGTGTGCTGGCTAGCAGTGGCACTGTTAACTTTCACAAGAGGGACACACCTTTCTTTTCTAATTCTACCCTACACAGTGCTGATTCATTATGATACCACTGTTCTCAGAAATATTTTTCTTAAAAGCTATATATAATTATCATACACATACAGAATTAAATATATGCACACACACACACACATCATGCTCTGTGCTCTCAGCCAGTGAAATCTGGGAAGGAGCTTGTCATGTATTCTTTGTTGCCCTTATCGAAGCACACTCCACTACAAATACTTCCAGCCAATGAGTATTTTCAGTGCTGTCCTAAGTTGTGCATGTTCTGTAAAGTACGCTATTTACTCTATCTTGGCCTTTCTGCTACTTATTTCATGTTCTAGAGATCATTTTCATCCACAGCTGTGGGTAAAAAGTGTTTAAATAATAGTTCTGGACTTGCCGTGAAGAGACAAAGGAAGAATACTATGCCCATTGTTAATCAGCCAGTTTTCATGCAACTCAAACTGTCTTTTGTGGCAATAATGGAAGAAGCAGATGGTGAAGTTCAGCAAGCCATGGGGGACAGGTGGAAATCCTTTGCATTTATGATGGGACATCTTAAACAGCATTGCAGGGCTGGGAGAGATGAAAAAGGGGACTTGACGAGGGTATCAAGGTAGGAACCAGAATCAAGCTCAATAAAGACCCAAAGAGCAAGCACACTTCTATGCCCTTCTATGCCATGTTCCATTTGACAGATACTGTTGGGAGGCTTCAAGAAGCTAGGAGTGGTGGGTAGGGGGCATGCAGGCACAGGGCCATCCCCTACAGGGACACCAGAGCACTCAGGTCTCCCACTGCACTTAGGAACAACATCTTTTAGCCAGGTTCAACTGAATGGCTGCAACATCACTGAAACCAGTAGCAAGAAGTAGGGACATAGTCTTTTTAAAATTTCCCCTTGCAGTAAGTAGTGTGGGAGATGAAAGGGCCCAGAGTGGGGACCTGCTTCAGGACACTGCCTTGTTGAGCAGGCAGGCGCCATTCATCGCGGGACTTTCATTTAACGGAGAGGGGCCTGCAAATTTAGGCTCAGAAACGAATTCTCTGGAGGCAAGGGAGAGGCTGAGCATGCCTTCCCCGGGGCCTTTCCTCCTGATGGGCCCTTCCTTTATTTATTTAGAGCACTGAGCCTTTCCTCTGAGTAAATACTGAACAAATACTTTAAAACCACCCGTTTAAACAGTGTCAAATTATTGCCCCGCCTCCACCTGGCCCTAGGCAGGGCTGTTGTGCTCACTGGTTATCTCCTGATTTTCCATAGTTGAGCAGGAGTAGACCCTAGTATCACAGGTGCCGCAGGATGTGCATGTGTGGGGGAAATATTAGCGCAGCACACTCTACTCCTATATGGCGGAACTTCCGCCTGTGTGTGTAACTTCCGTCTCACTGGGTGGAGCTTCTGCCCTAGTGGGGAACTTCCGCCTCACTGGGCAGGGAGCTTCCGGTGTCAGCCATCTTGGGAGGAGCTCAGGCCAGAAGTTACTGGCAAGCCTGAAGGAGTCTTGGGGCTGGGGAGTGAGAACGGCGCCTTTTCTTATTTTGGGCAGAGTTCTGAGAGGGGTAGATGTTTGGAAGTGGTGTTGGCCACAGGGAAGCAAGAATGGGGATGGGACGATGTTTACAGCCACAGAGAAGGGAAGTCTTGGTGAAGCACCCATCCAGGGACTCCCAAAAATGTGGTGGAGGGAGAGAGTCACTGCGGAGTAGTACTGCCCTGAACATTCAGAATGAAAGCGTCATTGTTTTTGGATTGATGCTTTAGAAACCAAAACTCTGTTTACTCGCCACCTATACAACCTATTAATCCCCCAAGAACTTAAAGGCTTAAGTCCCTATTGTATACATGCTGTATCCCCTGCAGACTTGGGGTGTGGGGTGGGGTGTCCAGGCTTTTCTAGAGCAAAAGCTGCAAACACCTAGAGTCCAGTTATGTCCGGGGTGCAGTAGGATTCTCAGCCACCTGATTTTCAGATTGAGAGTTACAGAACTGGACCAGAGAAGCAGCAAGTTTCTGGGTGCATTCACCCACCAGCCAGACTGGAAATACTGGAAAAGCAGAGGCAGCTAACCTTGGAGGCCTTGTCAGTATTTTCTTTCCTTTTGGCCAGTTCAGTTTTGAATAGAAACTGGAATAATAATTATAATGATACATGTTTACAGATTTTAACTAATTAATCCCTTGGAGTCCTCTTTTGGGTTAAAAGCATTCTACCCACCTCATACATCAGGAAAACAAGAGGCCATATGGTTTGGCTGGGCTGGGTGGTCGTTGGTGTCAGTAGAAGAGTGGAGACTGTGGCTTCAACAGTCCTTGACTTCTTGGCCTGTGTCCAAATCGTTGGGCCTTGTAGCTCCTAGAAAGGTGATACATGAGAAATTAAAGTGGACCAAACTATAAACTCGCAGGAGCAGTTGCCTGTAGTCAGGAGAACAGGCCCTGTGGCCCTGCCTGTGCCTGTTTCTCTTTGAGGGACAGCCTTGGAGAGGAGGAAAACCCATTAAACCAGAAGAGTTTTGTCCACCTTTAATTACCAATTAAAACATTCTGTAAAGAACATTCCCCCTGAAAAAACCCTCCAAGTTACTGTGAAGTTTTCATCTTTCCCTTTTGAATCCCAAGATCTACAGCCATGTAATCCAATGTTGGGAAAACATTTATTTGCAGAAACACCTACTGGGGTGTTGGGGACACCCATGACAGGGCAGGGAATGATGGAGCCAAATCCTTGAAGTAAGGCCCTGACCTACAGAATAACTTTCTTTACCCTTTCTATCAAGAGATTGTCTCCTGATTCTTTGTTCTCCTTTGAAAGCCACAAACTGGAGTGAGGTAGTAGGGGTATAGATGAGGGGAGCAAAAAAATGAAGCTTTTCAATGGTCATGGCAATTTCAAGGTAAAGAAAATGGTAGGAACACAGGAGGAAGCAACCTTTGGCCCTAGTAGACACAAATAAAGGCATGAAAATCAGCAAAGAGATCCAGGCTGGACTCCCAGAGAAAATTGCATATGGTTGTATAAGTGAGCAGTCATGGTCAAATGTAGTCTTTTCAGGGTGTTTCCAGGCAAATTGGCCCTGTTTGGAAGCATGGTATTGCCATCTTAGTGGATTATCCCTCTGAAGCCCCCCCAGTGGGCATTCACTTAGTCTTGATCCTATCCTACTTTGTGTCTTTGTCCAACTTTTTATATGTGAATACTGTTGTTCCCAAATTATTGGTAGACTTCTTAGTAGTAGGGACCAGGGTTTTCATGATAAATGTTAATTAAAATGATTCATCAAAGAACTCCTCCTTGTGTATCATCAGCTGAGAGACATAAACCAATTTTAGTCTTATTCCTATTACTTGATTTTCTTTCATTGTTCCATCTTTTTAGTGTTCCTGAGTCTTCCTTGATTCAGGGGGCACATCTGTGAGCCATGTGTTTATTTTCTTTGCTCCTGCACAGTGGTTTTTTTTGCTACTACAGGAAGTTTGGTAGATTCAAAAGTATAAAGATCCACACTGAGACCTGAGATGATAATCACTGACGCTATCAGCAAGTCTGGATACCCACATCTGCTTAGAGAATGGTTGCCCTGAGAAGCTCATCCCAGTCCTAATTCTGGTTGGTCTGTTTTGAGGTGATAGCCTCATATTGAAGTAATTTCTCCCCTCCAAAGGGTCTAGAATTGGTTCAGTTGTAATCTATTTTATGTAGTTGACTGCCTCAAGAAACCTGGAAAAGGTTATTAGGAGTGTGTGTCTAGGCATATGGATAACTGTTCCAACCCAACAGTCTGTGAACACCATTAGTAACCCTTGAAATGGTTCTCCAGGAAGTGCCAGCTGTTAATGACTTGCCCCGATGCTCCTGTGTGAGCTGAATAAAGAGATAATGTGTAACTTTGCCAGTAGCCAGGTGCTCGAGTTGATGGTTTGCTCAGGGATGGTGTGCCATTTGAGCCCAGAAAACATTGCCAAAGGAACAGTGCAAAATTAATGACTCTGCTGTTGAGAGGCAGAAGAGGGACAAACTGATAAGCTTATGATGCTGTGTCCCCTTCTACTGACTGAGAGAAGGGCTATACCTGAGGCAGGCAGAAATACTAACACAACTTTCGCATGGCCAGGGGAGAGACATTTTCTATCAGTAACTCTGAATTGACTTCCACTTTCTAGGAAGATATTGTATGGAAGTGCAGAGACATAGAAGAAAAATATGGCCTCAGGATGTTTTTAATCTAGCTAAAGTTCATGAGTGGAAACTAGTTAAAATGTAAGAAACTGTAATATCCATACTATGAAATAATAGCCTTTAAAGTAAATGAAATTGATTAATGTGTACTGAGAGTTAAGTGCTCTTAAAAAGGAGAATGAAGAAGATAAAGCACTTTTTCCTTCTACTGGATGGTGCAGTTTCTGCATGTGATGACTCTCAAGGTGGCAGCCATCTTTGCCTTTACCCTGGGGACCAAGCCAAATGAGGATGTTGGTAGGAAGGTGGCAAAACTTGTGTCCTTGAAGACAGTTATTAAGCCTCTGAATCAACCTCCCTGGAGTTGCCCTATGTCAGGACTTGAGAGAGAACCGGTTTTTATTTTTGCTTAGGCCAGTCGAAGAGGGATCATCTGGTATTTGCAGCTCAGTCCAGATAGAGGTTACTGGGAACTCAGTTTGGTTGTGAGGCCTCAAGCCCCTTTGTATCTGAGAGGAAATTTGGGTCCTTGGTGCCCCCTAGGAACGAGGACACACTACAAAATGGTGAGGGGGGTCATGAACCCTTTGTGGTGGGCAGGAGAGAGGGAGCTCAGGGGAAGCTGAGAAGTCATCCAGAGACAGGGGCACTCACTGCCCTGGTGGCTCAGCAGCAAGAGGTCAATGAGGCGAGGTAGGAAGAGAGTAGAAAAGTGAACCTCAGGCTGGCCTCTGAGGCATTTGTTATGAGTTCTGGAGGCAGGAGCTGTACTTGGGAGGCCAAAGGAGCCATCTCAGTTTAGGGCTACATGAAGGGAAGTTTCCTTCCCCCAGAGCAAAAAGCACCTCAGCTCTCAAGGGGCATGTGGGGAGAGAGAACAGTATTGGACTCTGGGAGCTGCAGTGAACTTGATATTTTGGCAGCTGCTGCTCTGAGCAGAGCCATGGCCTTAGGGAATCCAAAGGACTGTAAGAACTGGGCGGAGCAGAGCTGGGGACCCCCTGCCAGAATGCTTGGGGGTCCTCCAGAGGCTCTGATGCTTTCGGTTGGTTTGTCAGTGTGCCTACCTGAATTAAACCTCACTGGTCCCCAGCTGCTGTTGACTTGAACCATTTTAAACCAGGATCATCTCATGTCAGAGCTGAAACCCTGAATGGAGCCTAGGAAAATGAAGTCTTAACTGTGCTTGCTTGGGAGTGTGTGTGTGGCGGGGAGAGAGAAGGGTAAGGGGCGAGGAGAAGAAAGGAGCAGGAAGAGAACAGGGGAGGAGGGAGAGGAAGTGTGAGGAGGGTGACTGTTCTTTTTTTATTTACATAAATTTTCCCCACGTTTTTAAGTGGTGCCTTATAGTTGTACGTCCTGATGAGATGGGATGACTGGTCTACAGGATGGGGTGGCTGGTTTCCGCCAGGCCCTGAACTCCTGCCCTTGCCTGAGGCATCCATTTCCCTCACTGGTCTTGCCTCCAGCGGGACAGCAAGTGCCTCACTTACTCTTAGAATGAAGTCAAGGAAGGCCTCCTCCTACAATGCGGACCCAAGAAAGGTCAAAACTGCAGCCCTGGGCTTTCAGATTGTGATCTGTGGAACTCTCAAGTGACCTAGAGTCCTGTGAAAGTGCTTCGGGGACTGCAAATGGTCAACTAAGATCTCAGGTAAGAAATGTTTCACTTCATACCCTTTAGGATGGCATTATCAACAGAACAAAGCAAACTTCCCAGAAAACAAGCATTGGTGAGGGTCTGGGGAAACTGGATTTGGCATGGTTGGTAGGAAGGTAAAATGGTGCAGCCGTTGTGGAAAACAGGATGGACATTTCTCAAAAATTAGAATTACTGTGGGATACAGTAATTCCTCTTCTAGAGAGATTCCCAAAGGACTCACAACAAGGACCCAAATACTTATACCCCAAATGTTCATAGCAGCATTATTCAGAATAGCCAAAAGGTGGGAATAGTCAAAATGTGTATTGATGATGAATGGATAAATAAAATGTGATGTATATTTGCAATGGAGTATTATTCAACCTTAAAAATTAATGAAGTTCTAACATATGATACAATGTGGACCACTGCTAAAATTATGGCCAGTGATATAAGCAAGGTATAGAAGAAAAGATATTGTGTGATGCCACTTATATGAGGTACCTAGAGTAGGCAGATTCATAGAAACAAAAAATGACTGATGAGTCGCAGGCTGGGGGAAAGGCTGGGAGTTAGTGTTTAATGGGCTCAGGGTTTCTGTTTGGGATGATGAAAACGTTCTGCAGTGGATAGTGGTGGTGGTTGCACAATAATGTAAATACTTAATGCCACCAAATTTTACATTTAAAAATGATTAAAATGGTAAATTTTATGTTATATGTATTTTTAAAAATTAAAAAATTAAATGTTTTCCATCTACTAAAAAACTATAATAGGTGCAGCACAGATGCTGAGATACTCAATCTATCAGAGAATGCGTGGATTAAACTGGGCTTCCTCTGTACTCACCTAGGACTCAAGCTGCTTCTGGAATTTCTGACAGGAAGTTTGCATTTATTGCAAATATGCCAGTGGTTAGGAAGTTTGTATCTCCAGCATTGATCCTTTAAAGAGCTAGACTTGCTTTTATCCACTCACATAAAATTGTGGAGCATGGTTTCAACATGCCAGAGGAGCCAGCTGTGCAAAGCAGTTTCTGACATGTTGAGCCATGAGTTTATCTTTGTCACTTACTGTAAGTTTTTGGTGTTTTTGTCTGACTTATGCTTATGAATCAGAATGAAAACTACAGTTAGATATGAACAATGGTTCTGCTGCAGAACCACCTGGGTCAGTTTGATCAGAGTACCTTAACTTGGTCATCTGGAACTTCTCTTTAAATGTTATATTCATCAAAATATGCAAATATTATACATTTGAACTTGTAAAATAAAATTTTGCCAGTAAGCCGGGTGCAGTGGCACATGCCTGAAATCCCATTGACTCTGGAGGTTGAGGCAAGATCATTGTGTTCAAAGCCAGCCTCAATAACTTAGTGAGGTCCTAAGCAACTCAGCAAGATCCTGCCTCAAAATAAAAAATAAAAAGGGTTAGGATGTGGCTTAGTGGTTAAGCATTCCGGGTTCAATTCTCAGTACCAAAAAAAAAAAAAAAAAAGTTGTCAATAAAACACTAGGGATTCTACCATATTTGA